GCTGTAGGGGAACCTACACCACACTCCACGGAGAGTCATTCTCACAATGTTGTGAGCAGTCATTGACCGCCAGTCGAACATGCTGAGCCGGCGGCTCAGACCGGTCACTCACGGGCTGTTGTATGACCCTGATAATCAGCTCCATACAACAGCCCTTGAGTAAATCAGGGCCTGATTTAGTACTTCGGGACCTTATCATCATGCGATCATCGCATTCCAATGAGCTTTCAAAACCGCACAATAGTAAAGCGTGAGGAACGCCGGTAAACTACCAACGGTAGTTATTGGCCGGTAATATCCGGTTGACGATTTTGATATCATCAATGAAGCGTGCTCATCTGTTTCAGTAGTGAGAGACTCATCACCATACAGCATATGTCGGCATCGATTTCGAAGTCGACGTTTCCAAGCAGTCGAGATTGTATAACCTAGAGGAGGACCGCAATGTTGGTGAGGGGAGGGAACAGAGGTTCTTCGCGGGAACTTCCTGATTTACGTAATCTTTATGACGCGAATGAGACTGTGCTCAACGAGTGGGACTTGCCCTATGTGAGAGACAAGCTCCTCTCACACACTTAAGAATTCGCGCCTGGCCTTCATAGCTGAGCTATGATAGCTTCCTCGGGTTTATCTTCGAGTAACTGAGGAATTGTCTCCCGCATCATAGATGCGTCGATGTTACCGGAAATAGCACCGATAGCAGAGCTCGGATGGTCGTCCCTTGAAGGGGCTTACCATAGTTGGCATCACTCCCATTTCCGCCTTGAATTTCGTGGAAGAAGCATTCGTTTCCTTCTCAGTAGCCTCGTTCATCATGGAAGAAACGAACCAACCAGTTTTCAGCATGTGCTCGGAGTACAGTGCTCCTGAGGGACACGAGGTGCACCGTGAGCTTCCCGACTCATCGAGCCGCCCGTCGGCTGCCGACGAAAAGGAGACGTTGAAGGCTTCAGCTGGTGTTTCAACTTGAAACACCAGCTGGAAGCGCATGCAAGTTGCATGATGCAACGCTGACTTAGATGGGGGTCAGATTCGATCAGGTCGAGGAAAATGCGATATAACAGTTTAAAAGTAAACGTTTGGCCGGCGGTATCTTTTAATGTGACTCGCTTGGAGGTGAGTGACTCACCGTGAGTCATACACCTTTGGATAGGCCGACAGTCATTCAGAATGACTCATTCTTATACTCGATCGACAACTCGCTCAGACCGACGCCTGAC